GGAGGGAGGGAGGGAGGGAGGGAGGGAGGGAGGGAGGGAGGGAGGAAGGAAGGAAGGAAGGAAGGAAGGAAGGAAGGAAGGAAGGAAGGAAGGAAGGAAGGAAGGAAGGAAGGAAGGAAGAGAGAAGTCAGTGAGAGAGGCTAGCAATTGGCAGGACTGAAGAGAACCCCATCATAAAATAGTCAAGTTAATTGGATCGAATAACTAGGACCTAACTCAGAGTAACTTAAGAAAACCTATGGTGTGGAATTTATTGGCTCAATAAATTAGTGTTTATAAACACTAATAAGAGATCTAGCCAAAAAAAAAATCTGTTCAAATTTTCTTTCTAAACTTTTTTCCACCATATGCTTTGAAAGGTATGAAGCCTAGTTTCTCTCCACATCTTGCCTGTGTTTTTCTTGTACTGATTCTGTTTTCTCTAAGCAGGAGCGAGAACGGTAACTCCAAATGCACCTCCATCTTCCTTAGCAGCTGATGCCTTCACAGGTGAGCAGGCCAGGGAGCACTGGACCAATGGGATCCTGTGCTTACCTAGGAGTTGGCCATTGTGGCCTCAAGATCTAATGTACTCCGACAGGCTGGGGTCATTTGCCTGTGTCTGCAAAACAGGCAAAAAAACGTGTGAAGGGAAATAGCTGTAGTGTCCAGTTTCCGTACACACCTAGACCACAGGGACTGAGGTGAAGACGTTCCCTGAAGGAAAATTAAAGTGTTGCTAGCCAAAGGTAGGTGCATCGACTAGATGGAACAGCACAGATACCCACTACACCCCTCTTTCTCTAGCTCCTACAAATGCCACCAGCACTACCGCCGTGGGGGCTGATTGCCTCCGTGTCCTTTGCCAGCAGTCGTAAAAACAGGAATAGCATGGTCACGGAGTCACAAGTTGCTAAAGCAGGTAGCAAGGTCCTCTGGCCAGTAGCCACTGGACACGTCCTCAATGATGATTTAAAAACTATGATCAAACATTAACTGAAGCATTTTATACTATTTTCCCTTAACTTATAGTGCCTTTGCCAACATGTATCTCAACCTATATTCATTGTTGGGCCTTATATCTCTATGTCATCAATTCTACTGCATTACAGCCTATAGAAAGTTTTTTTTTTTTTTTTTTGCAAGTGTGTAATCATTAACTGGGAAAAATATAAACTGCAAATCTCATTTTGCAGTGCCCAAAGGACATTGGGCCCAACTTCATTTTTTTTTCATTCTTTATGCTTTAATAGCTATTCTCTGTTCTGTGGAGAATGGAGAAGTTGATGTTTTCCTGTCCAAAATGCCAGCTCTGGAATGGCTCAGGGGGTAAAAGTGATCACTACCCAAACCTGATGATCTGAGTTTTAGTCCCAGGACGGATGGTAGAACAAACTCCCCAAGTTGTTCTTTGCCCACCACAAAGATGTCCCAGCAGAAATGAACCCACGCTCATACACACATAGAATTTAATAAAATTAAAATATCAGTTTCTGCTTGTTTCTTCCCACACACTAAACTTTCTAATCACCAGAGATCTAAACCACTTTGTATTTTTCTTTTCATTTGTAAATGCTATAGAATTCCTTACATGTCACAGCTATAAATCTAAAAGAGACTTTAGTATAACCTAAAACTTCCCTTTCGTTTACGAATGAAAGAAATGAAATCTCAACAGCTGTCTTATTTGGGGCTGCATGGCTGTTTTCAGCTTCAGTTGTGTGGGCCTACCTCTAAGTGTACAGAAGCAATAATGTATAATGTGATCATAATCCTCATGAAATTCAATTTAGCTGAGGGCACATGACCCTCCAAAGCATAAGCCAATTGCAGGACATCATGGTTCATCATATAATTTGATGTATAAACAAATTATGAGAGGAGATGGCTCCATCAGGAAGCACTTGCCAGGCATGCATGAATTCAGATCATCGACACCAACCTACAAAACAGGCATAGCAGGACGAGCCCAGAATTCCAGCAGTGGAGAGCTGAAACGGGAGGACCCCAGGAGCTTGCCAGGCAGCCAATATAAAAGAATCATGTGACCCAGGTTCAGTCCCATGCCTTATCTCAGAAACAAGGCAGAATATGATTAAAAGTCCTGACACGACCTCTGGCCTCCACGTGAACACATGTGCACGCACTCCTAGATGCTAGAAAAATCATGCCCTGAACAATTAAAAAATCACCCATTAAATATTAGTTAATTGGATTCTGACTTTAAATAAACAAACATGTATTCATACGTGCATACGCACATACTGCCTAGTCTAAGTATAGAAGTAATGTGTTTGCTTGCAATTTTATATCTATTAATTCCTCTTTAGTGTACATAGCAGTATTACTCTTTTGTTACTGTGATAAAACACCATGACCAGAAACAACCTAGGAAGCAACTGGAGAGTCCACGGTTCAGCAAAAAGCTGAGAGTTCACAACTCAGCTGCAGAGCAGAAGAAGCAGAGAGGACAAACTGGAAGTGATCTGAGGCTGCAAACTCTGAAATTTCACCCTTGGAGATGAACTTCCTCCAGGAAAGCTGTGCCTCCTAATGTTCCATGACCTTCCCAAACAGCACTACAAACTGGAGACATGAGCCTATGAGGGACTGTGAACTCACCCCAACCAGCTAAGCTAAGTCTCCACAGATCAAAGGAAACTGCAAAGATCAGAGTGAGGTAACCAGAGGACTCAAGGCTTTTATGCTCAATAGTAGTACAAAGAAAGCACTTCTCATTTTTATTATTAAAGCAAGCAAAATATGAGGTGACATTTACAGTTAGCTTAAGCAAATACACGTACAGTGAGGAAACACACCTGGTATTATGTCTTATCATCTTGACGGTATGAAAAAGAAAAAAGAACTTTCCTCCTAGGCCTTTTCGCCTTTCCACAGAGCTAATGGGTACATGCCAGAAAATTCCCCTCTTGCCCTTGCTTTCAAGTGCATTCATGTATCACAGTTTATGCAACTCTTTTAGAAGGCTGCCTTGTGGGAAGGGCCTTCTGAACTTGGCTCATCCAGTCACAGTTTCTGACACACAAGGGATGAGTTCACCCAGTCCACTGCAATGCTAGCTCTTTCCCAAATACAAACAATCCATTTGTAGTCCATCAAATACAACTTATCTAAAAGGCCACAATCTAGAACCACTGGTATTTTGCCCAGAAACTGTGTCAGTATAAATCCAGACTGAGTTCACCTTTGGTTCAGGAAAAAAAAAAAAAAAAAAAAAAAAAAAAAAACATAACTTTGAATATTTCTAAAGAGATATGTAGCAACTAAAAACAGAGGGAGAAAATTTTATTAAAAATATAAGTCCAATTGATGAACCAGCCTTTATGTTAGTAAGGGTTTTATTGCTGTGAAGAGACACCATAACCAAGGCAACTCTTACTAAAATAAAAACATTTAATTGGGCCTGGCTTACAGTTTCAGAGGTTTAGTCTATTATCATCATGGTGGAAAGCATGGCAGAGTGCAGGCAGACACGGTGCTGGAGCCAAGAGTTCTACATCTTGATCCTCAGGCAGCAGAAGGAGACTGTGTGCCTCACTCTACATAGCTTGAGCATATATAACCTCAAAGCCTGCCTCCACAGTGACACAACAAGGCCACACCCACTCCAACAA